TCCAGTTTCTCCACAACCTCGCCAGCATTTGTTGCTTGCTGTTCTGTTAAATTTTGCTATTCTGACTGGGGTGAGATGCTATCTCATAGTTGTTTTAATTCTCCCTTTGGTTGTGCTTCTTGAAATGCTAGTTTTTTCAGAGTCTCTTCTGACATCCATTTCTGTTTTTAATGTCTCCTCTGTCTCTTTAATGGCTCTCTCCATGGCTGGTATCCTTGATGTCGTCCCACAATTCATTGTTACTGTTGGTACAGGATAGGGTAGGATTTCCATCTGTTGTTCACAGCGTCAATATGAGTTGTAGTCAACTCAGTGGCACCCAGTAACAACAACAAGATGCCACTCTTGGGGAGTCAGAGTAATAATGTCTAATAGGACTTTTTTGGCTATAATCTTTATGGGAGATGATTTCCAGGCCTTTCTCTCCTGGAGGTCCTGAGAGGCTAATAAATACAATGTTTTGATTAGCAAGTGAGCATTTAACCCTTGTATCACCAGGATTTAGCCACGGAAATGGATTTGGAATAATAATGGTAACACTTTTCTATTCTCAGCTCATTCTTCTGAATTCAAATAAATTTGAAAACCCTGTAGGTATTGATGTGATGGACTCTGCCAGCATAAAAGAGGGGATGCTGTTCCTCACTCAGACAGGAGTTGGAATCCTGGGAAACGCATCTCTGCTTTGCCTTTATAACTTCCACTTGATCACCGGACACATGTTGAAACCTACAGATCTGATTCTCAGTCAGCTTGTCTTGGCTAACTCCCTGGTACTTTTCTCTAAAGGAATTCCTCACACTATGACCGCATTTGGACTGCAATTTGTCCTGGGTGATACTGGATGCAGACTCGTCTTCTATTTGCACAGGGTGAGCAGGGGAGTCTCCCTCAGCACCACCTGCCTCCTGAGTGGCTTTCAGGCCATTAAGCTTTCTCCCGACTTCTCTCGGTGGATGGAGCTCAGAATGAGATCCCCAAAGAGCATTGGCTTCTGCTGCTTCCTCTGCTGGATCCTACATCTCTTGTTAAACAGTACGGTTCCTTTAAGAATGTGTGGGCCACAAAACAGCACAAACTCAAGCAGAAAAATAAGAAATTTTGGGTTCTGCCATGTATGCATCCTGGGAAAATTGATAAATGCAATGCTTATTTTCATACTTTCCTCCATTGATGCGATGCACTTGGGCATCATGGTCTGGGCAAGCGGCTCCATGGTCCTCGTCCTGCACAAACACAAGAAACGAGTCCAACACATTCACAGCAACCGCCTCTCCCCCGGACCTTCCCCCGAGGCCAGAGCCACAAGCACCGTCCTGGTTCTGGTGAGCATGTTTGTCTCCTTCTACACCCTCTCCTCCACGTTGACTCTCTATGTTTCTGTTGTGGAGTCCGGGAGGTGGCTTGTGCACTTTTCTGTCTTTGCAGCTTCCTGTTTCCCAGCATTCAGTCCCTTGGTACTCATCAGCAGACATCCACATTTCTTGGTTTCTCTTTGGTTTTGGGGCAGTAAAAGAACTTTTTTGTAATCTGTTCATGGGCTATATATGTTCTGTTGCTTGCAAAAAAATGCATTGTGGGTTTTTATATCTGTGATTGCTTGTTAAGGATCAGGCGTTTTCTTGGAAGAAGGTGCACAGAAAGCTATATGACTGGGTGTTAGGCTACTCACAAATAGTGTGCAATTACCATTATCCAGTGGTTCCAAAGGAGAAGAATGTGATGACCCACTCCAGAAAATTACAACAACAATATGAGACAGAATGTGGATGTTTTTAAAAACATGAATAAAACCAAACTTACCAGACTGCTTGAGACGGGAAGACTCCCTGAGTCTATAGTCTTGAGATAATCTTTATGATTCACTTTGAAATGAAACTACCTCCTGAGATCACCTAGTAGTCAAATAACAAGCTGAATAAAAAAGTAATGACTACCACTAGAAAATGCTGTGTTTTTTTTAAAAGTCAACTGTGGAGACTGAGAGAGACAGCAATCAAATATAAGTTTCTTACAGGCTGAAACGCCAGCCTTAAGCTTAGACCAAGTTTCTCTTTGTCTTAAGTTACTCTACTGTGTATTTTCTCCTTACACAATCTGTTCTAGAACGTATTTCTTTTTGTAACTTTTTTTTTAAATCCTACTGTGCCGTTTTGTCCATCTGGTGGCCTGGTGTTAAGAAGTTGCACTGTCAACTCAAAGGTACACAGTTCTAATCTAGTGGCTCTTCCATGAGAAGTAGATGGGCAGTCTCCTCCAGTGCAGTTTTTTGCCTCTCAAAGCCCACTGGAGGGTCAGCTATGAGTCATTTCCAATTCAATGGTAAAGAACAACAACCACGATGTACTTATAAGTGAACTTGCAGATAGAAGTAGTTAATGTTAAGTGAAGCTACCAGCTAGGCCTATTATTAAGGATGAAAGTACCCTCAACTATAATTTTCCAAATATTTTTTTCTAATTAATCCAATTTGTGTTTTAAAAAGCTTACGCCACAAATGTGTAACTTTTCATGTAAAAATCCCTCTTCCTGTCCTTGAACATTAGAATTGTTGTTGTTTTTGGTTTTGATTGCCTTTGAGTCTAGCATGCCTCATAGTGACTCTATTAACAAAAGTCCTGAACCCCCTCGACAATTACAGACATTTATCCAGGTTCATAGAGTTTCCGTGGGCATGTCCTTTAGGAAGTGGTTGCCATTCCTGCTTCCAAACCTGTCACAGTGGAACATTAGAATACTAATGGGGTTTTTTTTTGTTCTCATAACAATTGTATTCCTTCAGCAAATTCTGCAAATATATTTCAACAGAAATCGCCATGAAAATACTAAAGTAACTCACTTTACAAAATACTAAAGATCCCTAAATTCTAGAAAATGTATCATTTTCGTGGTCAGTCAAGCTCCTGTCCAATATCAATGTTGTGAAAATGGCAATACTACCAAAAGCAATTTACACATTTAATGCAATCCCAATACAAATACCAACCCCATTCTTCAACGAGATGGAAA